GTTAGACAGGATCTGTTTCTGAAAAACAAACCCAGTTTAACTTTCAGTTTCTTTATCAAGTTTTCCACATGGAGCTTAAAAGAGAGATGTGAGTCGACCAAGATACCCAAATATTTATAGGAATCAACAAACTCAATGGGGACACCATTTGAGGATAAAATCAGAGGAAGAACTGCTGGGACCAACTTCCTGTTTGAAAACAACATCCCTTTGGTTTTGTCAGCATTTAGGACAAGTTTGAGACTGAACCAATCAGACTGGATGATGTCAAAGGCAGATTACAAAAGATGGAAAACCTTAGCAACTGTTTTAGCTCGACAATAAACAACTGCATCAGCATAGAAATGTATAGATGCATCAGGGGTGCTCTGTCCTACATTACCTATGTAGATTGTAAAGAGGGTGGGTCCTAAGACTGAGCCTTGTGGTACACCATTGTTAACTGTTAAATAAGAGTCAGAGTTTCTTTATTTGTCGTTCCACCACGTCATGGAACAAAACAGTGTACACAGGGTCCCAGTTTCATCCAACAAAAGTATAAAATGTAAAAGAAAAACAGTAATAAGATCTAAGATATGAACTAAAAAAACATCAACTAAATAAACACTAAGCACTAAGATTTTAAGTATGAAAACAATACGCCGAACAGCAGCACGAACAACAATAACTTGAGGATATACCATTATGTTGAACACATTGTCTCCAATCTGAGAGATAGTTAGAGAATCAACCATAGGTGTGATCTGAGAAACCAGTTTCAGAGAGCTTATGACACAAAATGTTATGATCCAGTGTCAAAAGATTTAGACAGGTCTGTTCTCCTCCTGCTCCATCTGAGCTCCTCTTTATTTGACTCTAAAGTGATTATTTGTATTTTCTGATCCACGTTTGTCGCTTTATTTTGATCCATCCATCCATCCATCCATTTTCTTCCGCTTATCCGGGGTCGGGTCGCAGGGGTAGCAGCCTAAGAAGGGAGGCCCAGACTTCCCTCTCCCCAGCCACTTGGGCCAGCTCTTCCGGGGGAATCCCGAGGCGTTCCCAGGCCAGCTGAGAAACATAGTCCCTCCAGCGTGTCCTGGGTCTTCCTCTGGGCCTCCTTCCGAGCTTTATTTTGATCTCAAACCCAAATTGAGACAATCTGTTCATTTGGGTTGGAGGAGGAGGAGGAGGAGGAGGAGGAGGAGAAGGTGGTGATGGGAAACATCCATTAGTCCTTCCAAACAAATGATGAACATGCTGACAGCCCGATGTGTTCCAGCTGGAGCAGCTTGTCCACAGGACCAAAGCAGCAGGTTAGTTTGCTCCAAAATGGATCAGAACCACAGAACAGGTTCTGAGAAAGGATCGGTCCACCCTGGAGGTAAAACTCCATCTGACAGCAGCAGAACTTCATCAGAAACCTTTACAACAGTTCTGTTGTTTCTGTCTGAAAGAAAAAATAGAAACACCAGGTTCTGTCTCAACAGAACCAGAACAAACCCACCTATTGCCAAAAGAAGTTCTGAGTTGGTGCCACGGTGCTGTTCCGATTCATAATTTTTTTGTGTTCAAACAATGAGTCGGCGCCGTGTCCGAATAAGAGAAGATGAGCTGCTGATGGAGGAAATAGAAGAGGCAGCATGGCTGGACCATTGGCGCTGGAAGTGCCATGATGACGAGTGTCCAGAAGGAAGGCCGCCATGTCGGTCTGTCATGAAGGAAAGCCGCCATGTCAGTCTGTCCACAAGGAAGGCCGCCATATCGGTCTGTCATGAAGGAAGGCCGCCATGTCGGTCTGTCCAGAAGGAAGGCCGCCATGTCAGTCTGTCATGAAGGAAGGCCGCCATGTCAGTCTGTCCAGAAGGAAGGCCGCCATGTCAGTCTGTCATGAAGGAAGGCCGCCATGTCGGTCTGTCCAGAAGGAAGGCCGCCATGTCAGTCTGTCATGAAGGAAGGCCGCCATGTCGGTCTGTCCAGAAGGAAGGCCGCCATGTCGATCTGTCCAGAAGGAAAGCCGCCATATTGGTCTGTCATGAAGGAAGGCTGCCATGTCGGTCTGTCATGAAGGAAGGCTGCCATGTCGCTCTGTCATGAAGGAAGGCCGCCATGTCACTCTGTTATGAAGGAAGGCTGCCATGTCGCTCTGTCATGAAGGAAGGCCGACATGTCGGTCTGTCATGAAGGAAGGCTGCCATGTCGGTCTGTCATGAAGGAAGGCCGACATGTCGCTCTGTCATGAAGGAAGGCCGCCATGTCGCTCTGTCATGAAGGAAGGCTGCCATGTCGCTCTGTCATGAAGGAAGGACTATGTCGTTCTGTCCAGAAGGAAGGCCGCCATGTCAGTCTGTCCAGAA